GTGTTACTCGAGTTAATAGTCTAATGCCTATGGCAACATCAAGTATTTATGTAAAACATCATTTTGATAATGAAGCAAAAGCACAAGTTGAAGAAATGATTGCTTTGGTGTGTTTTATTTTTTACTGTTGGACCTAGTTTTTGGATACCCAAAAATTACACGACAGTTTAAGATACCTCTTTTTTAAAAGTTGGGTTGTTGTAGTAAGAGGCCCTCCATTAAATGTAATACCACTTATGATAAGGTATCGTTTCATTTCAGGCCCGTAACCACTGCGTGGAGGGGGAAGATCCTGGTTACAGGCCTGCTCTATTTAATCAACACCCGTTCCCTCATTATAAGGAGTATTTCAGGGGTGTGCCGAAAGTGATTTTAAAAAGCGAAAGGCGAAAGACGAAAGGCGAAACTCGCACACCCCTGGAGTATTTCTGTATCAAAGGACCTAAAAATGAGGCTTGAGTGTAGAAACTGGACTGGGTGGGTCGGATGAGAATCGTACGAGATATCTTATAAAATTTCGATCTCAATCAGGCGTTTATTTTGTCCACGAAACGAAATTTTCGCCCAGGTTTGATTTCAATAACCTAGATATTTGTTCGAGAGTCCGTCTCAAACCGGTCTTTACTTAATTGTATCAAACAATTTTTTATTTTCAAAGATAATGGAAGCATTTGTTGAATTATTGGACGAGGAAGAATGGCTAACTGGAGAAACTAAAGCCTATGCAAAACAAAAAATAAAAACAATGCATCAAAAAATAGGTTATCCTGACTATTTGGAGAACAACACGGCGGTTAATAAGGAATATGAACGGTGTTTTTTAATTTCTAAAAATTAAAAATAATTTTTAATTAATTAAAGTTATATCGTATATGAATCAGATTATTACAAAACAAAATTTCAATTTTACGAAATGTATCAAAAAGATATTTTGGAAAAAATTAGAATGCCTGTTGACAGAAATAGGTAATTAGACTAGGGATGGTAGTTGAGTACCTGCCAGTTAATCGACCGTAACTTCCTCCAACCTTTGTCTAATTGAGTAAATAACATACTATTCGAAAGCTATTGAAGAGGAGAATATTTATTCCAACAGGACAGATTGTGTGCGATCATTCGTTAAAAAGTTATGACTTGATAAGTGTAAGAAATCGCTGTTTTTCGCACTTGACGGGTTGTAACTTTTTAATTAGTGATCAGACCGGATCAGTCCAGTTAGAAAAAATATTCCCCTCATTAAGAGCTTTCGATTGATATAGAATCCATTCGGATCCGATCGGGGACAAAAAAGTTGTGGGCGATCAAATATGGAGGGTTCTCAACTGCAAATACAGAAGCCTTTTAATTAAAAAAATCCTTTAATTTTTAAAAAAGATGGGTAGCCGGTGCAGCTTTAGTCAATGCTTTCTATTCACCAAATACAAACGAAATCAGTAAAAAAATATTAAAAATTAAATAAAAATAAAAAATTTTTTCTAGTATTCCCAGCGGGCATTTTACAGCCAGTCTTTTACAGTAAACATTTTCCTCGTTCAATGAATTTTGGGGGAATTGGAGTAGTTATTGGGCATGAAATAACACACGGTAATTTAAAATTAAATTATAATATTATAAACATTTATTTTGTAGGATTTGATGATAGAGGAAGGCTTTATGACCAATTTGGTAATATAAGGCAGTGGTGGTCAGTTAATTGAAATTTTAAAGGGATTAAAAGCCTAAATTGGGTCATTAGATCACGTTATCTTAGGAAATCCAATTGTCAGCGTTGTCCAATTGTTCTAACGAACAAATGTTCTCACTGTCAATATGTCTTATAGTCCAATTTTTTGTCCGATTGTCCTACTTTCGTTACTGTCCAATTGTCCTTGCCAGCCAAATGTCCTTTTGTCCAATTGTCTTCATGGCAAAATGTCCTACTTTCCAATTGTCCCTACCGTCTATTTGTTCCCAATGGCAAATTGACCTAGAGTCCAATTGTCCTGACTGTCCATTTGTCTTACTTTCAATTGTCCTTAGTGTCCAATTGTCCTCTCCAATTCCTTACTGTCCAATTGTCATACTATCCTTGCAGTATTAAACTAAAAATTAATTTTTAGGGATAATGCTACAATTGTTAAATTTGAAGAAAAGGCAAAATGTATTGAAGATCAGGCATAACCAAATTAAAAAATAATTAAATTTCCCCATAAATTTTCAAGTATTCAAATTATGTTCTCGATCAAATTTCAATGAAAATAAATGGGCGCAGTACAAAAGGAGAGAATATAGCAGACAATGGGGGGCTTAAACAGGCATACCGTGCTTATAAAAAATATGAACGATACCGATCTCTTCCCCAACAATTGCCAGGAGTTAATTTAACACATGACCAATTATTCTTTCTCAATTATGCCCAAGTAATTTAAATTTTGGAACTTTAGTGGAATTAAATAATTTAAAGATTTGGTGTGGTATAATGAATGATAAGGAGGCGGTTAGAAAATTGAGGACTTCTGAACATTCGCCTGGTCCGATAAGGTAGAAAATGTTTTTTTTGATTGTCCGACATTTGCGGACATGGCGAACTTTACATAAGATACTCCAAAGATACTCCTAGATACTCCAAAGATAGTCCTAAGCCTCTATAAAATATACCCTCTCACTATAGAGACCCCTGCTACCTCCAAACTTCATTATAAGATCCCTCGGTATTTGTGACTTAGAGGGGGGGGGGAACTACACAAGACTATATACCCTCAAAACTAGATACACTTCATTTTAAGATAGGTATGTTTTTTTAAAGTTTATGTGGTTAATGGGTAAAAAAATTGCTGTAGGCACCTCTATTTATGATACACTCATTATAGGAGACAATTTTTTCAGAAACTATGTGGTATCTTATAGTAAAGTCTCTCCAGTGAAGTTTCAAAGCTTATAGGGAAGTCCTAATATGTATAAGCTAAGAAAAAAGTTCAGTAAGTGTCCGCAAATGTCAGTCCTCAAATGTCGCCTTGCCCTTTTGTCAATTTAAAATTTTGTTTTTAGAGTAAAAGGTCCTCTTTCAAATTCTGTTGATTTTGCTGCTGCTTATAATTGCCCTGAAGTATTTTTTAATTTTATAAAAATATTAAAAAAAATATTTTTAAAGGGAAGTCCAATGAATCCAATTCAGAAATGTAAAGTTTGGTAAATGGAAAAAAGTGGAATTTCCCTTTATGTACTTAATATTCAATGAAAATACATTTTTTTCGTTTATACGACATTTGCGTCCCTATTTTTATTTTAATACGATTAAGCAAAGAAAATTTTTTGCCTACAGCTAATGGGACCCTTCACCCTCTTTCAAGCGGCGTTTGCCCCTTCTTACCTCTTTGTCTCATATTCGCCGCAAAGTGTCACCCTTATAATTGACACAAATGTCGCTCCCTGTTTAATTTAGTATGCAATGTTTAAATCAGATCCCAAAATTTTTTAAAATTTTATATATTTTCTCGCCATTTCTAATACCAACTTTTATTACTACATTAATTGTTCCCTTTTTTAGAACATATTATTTTGTTACCAATAAATTAATTTCAAATAAATATTTTTTTTAAATTTTTACATGTACATATTTGATTTTTTAATCAGAAAAATAAATTTTTTACACGACATTTGAGTATCCGACATTTAAGCACACGACGATTGAATTCCCGACATTTGTGTACTTGACATTTGAGTGTCTCACAGACGGGTACCTGACATTAGAGTACACAACATTTACTTCCGGATATTTGAGTACACGACCTTTGAGTATTCGACCTTTGAACACACCACGTTTGCGGCTACATCTGGAAGTCTTTTTTGTTATTGATACGGCAAAAAATGAATTAACAAAAAATAGGAAACAGTAAAAGTTAAAATTTTTGCATGTTTTATCGAGCGTAAGAGATTATCGAATTTTGACCTAAAAATTTTTTAATAATAAATTTATTTTGTAATTCTCTCTTGTTTCTTCTAAATTCCTTCCGAATCGTTTTAAACATTTGCTGACCTAAATATTTTTCTAAAAACCAATTAAATATTGAGAGAATATAGCGCTAAAATTGAATAATTGAATGGTTCATTTATTGTTGCTAATGAAATAATTTAATTAATATTTTTTATTTGATAAAAATTCAGTCTGACTAAATATGAGATACCCCTTTAGGTCTTAAATAGAGGGGTACACTCCAGCATATTTTTCAAAAATTTAAAGCACGCCAATCGCCAAACGCCATGATGCACATCCCTGCTAATGAAGTTATAGCTCGGCGTTATGCTGGACTGATCCCAAATAGAAGATGATTAGGCAGCTTCCCACACCCAGGGGCTTGTCTCTTAAATAGAGGCTTATCTTATTTTGGTTATCTTATAGTGGGATATAACTCATTTTAGTGTACGATTTTTTCAGCCCTTAGGGCTTACTCTATAACGAGATTCAACTGTACTTTAAAATTATTTTCTATTAAAATAGCAAAAATAATAACAATATCCTCATCCAAAATCCTCTTCTCTCAAAATAAATCTACTCAAAATCTCCCCATTTATTCCCATTTTTGTTTGTGTAAAAGATATGCTTCGTTTCATTTTTAATAATTTTTAGAGAACAATTTTTACCAAATTTATCCTTTCAAAATGAAACAAAATAATATTTTATTAATCCATTTTTTATTTTATTTCACTTCAATTTATGCTTTAAAGAATGCTGTTAGGGGGAAAAAGTGTGCACAGAATCAGGCAATTTTTATTAGAAAGTTAAAGGAAAACCTCTTTATAAGAGACTCTCAATATCAGCTACACTCTCTATTTAAGAGACGCTTCTTAATTTTGGTCGTCTACTGTATAGGGAGTTTTCTAAGGGATACCCTCTATTTAATAGATACCCTCTATTTAATAGACACCTCATTATAAGAGACCATTTTTAATTCCTGAGGGGGTATCCTGTGATGTATCTGACAAGTTTGATTAACAAATATTGAGTTTAATTGTTTAGGTGGTGAACAAATTAACAGTTTATGAGGACGGTGCCATCGAAGCAGAATGTGGACCCTTACCATGTGGTTCTACTGGGGCATGTTCAGATAATATAAGCTCGTGTAAAGCAGCTTCTGATATTTTTTCTGGAATGAAATGGGCGCGTAATGGTCAAAGGCAAATTAATTAACCTAAATTTTATAAATGAAGAGAAAAGTCCGCAAAAGTATTGCGGACAATTTTTGCGGACAAAAAATTTGTCCGCAAGATTTTTGCGGATACCTTAATATTTACAACCTCAATTTAGCCTCTTACTTCGTTGCTGTTCCTTACAAGCAGGCAATAAAGTATATATTGGAACAGATTTGGTAACTCTTGGATCATACTATACTGGTAGGATCTTTGGTTTTTCTGATAAAAACCCGCATTTAAGGAGGCATTGTCCCCGAAAAGGATATGATGGGAACGACAGGAATTGAATACGATTTTGTTGCAAATGCCAGAACAGAACAGTTAGAAATTTTTATTTTTGTTCTGGAAGAAATTTTTTTCCAGAGGAGGGGTTAGAGTTTGGGTTTATAGAATTGTTTGCCAGTCAGACCCTCAACAATCACAACAACAACCCTCAATTCCTCATCCCTCAATGCCTCAACAGAAAATAGAAGATCAAATGTCTAATGACGAACAACCGTAAAATTTTTTTATATCTCTCAAATGCGGAAATATTTGTCCGAAAGTGTCGTATTTGAAAATGTCTAGTTCGCGAATCCTGGGAAATTTTCGGATGTCCGGATATTCAAATGAAAATTTTTATTGAATAAGTAAGAGTTCTGATCCCAATATCCGTCCCTGGTCTTCTTAAGGCCGCAGATAACGAATGGGGTTTCAATAGGAGGAGATATGAGAGGTTAGGTGACTAGGATTCAAACCGAATTTTTCTGGATACTCAGAACTTTTCTTTTGATCCCGTATCCATTGCTGGTTAGCAAAAATGGCATTAAAGAGTACCCTATCAACGACTAATCTACTTATTTAAAGCATTTCCGAAAGTCAAGACCAAACCAGACTGCAAAAAGACGCTTCGATCGAAAACAAAGAAGAGGAAGGGGAAGAACAATCAATCCCAAATCCTCTTCAATATCGGTAATTTCGTGAAAAATTTTTTTACTTTTATTTCCCCAAAATTAGCCCACGAAGAAATCATCAACAACAAACTTCTGTAAATTCGCCTGCTAATCGTGTGATTTAAATAAATTGAAATTAATTTTTATTTTTTCAAATTAAATTTAAACAAAGTAAAGATTTTTGGTGATTTTGATCATAAAGCATAGAGAGTCAATCCCGTATATCGAAAATAAAAACCGGAAAGGTATTTTTGATATGTCAAATAATGTCGTTTTCGATATTCGTGATTTTTTGATTGAATACTATGTACTGGGTATTTTATATATGTATTTATTTTTTTTGTTTCTATGAAGACATATGTATACTTCATTCATCGTCTTCAATTTCAATGATCCTTAATATTTTAAATATTAGAAGGAGATAATTCCCGGGGTAATAATTTTTTCACCTTAAATACGAGGTGAGTTAATAGGGGTAATTATTTAAGCTATAGGGATTGGGGAGGCAGTGTAAGCGGTACCCTCTATTCAAGGTACCACCCATTATAAGAGACAATCTGACCCTTCCTAGAATACATCCACTACTAGATACCTCAATATAAGTTAAGTTTTTAAAGTTGAGTGGCCATGAGGGCCTGCCTAAGGGATACCCTTTATTTACGATACCCCTCATTATAAGGGATGATTTTCTCAGTACCAAGTGTGTATCCTACAATGAGGGTTGATTTTTTATAACCAAAAAACAAAACTTTTTCAATCGTTTAGCATCTTGATTATCCAAATCAGGAGAGTTTGAAGGAGAGTCATTATCTTTCACTTTTCTTTTAAGCTGCTGTTTTGTATAAAATTTTTGTGTTGTTATCATCTAAAAGCTTTTAATCCTAAATTAAATTTTGCTTTAGACATGTACCTTTAATAAATTTTCAAATTTATCATTGAATGCTCCTTTAGAATTAAATCCAACTAGGCTACAAAAAGCTCTGACACTTCCGTTTGTTTCAATTTCAAAATTAATATAATACAAATTAATATTTTTAACAGATAAAGCCTCGTCACATTTTATAGTTGTCTAGAAAATATTTTTTAATTTTAAAATTCAGTGACATTTAGGTCCTTTTTGAGCGGTCCATTTTTGGGGTTAGGAATCTTCATAAATCTACTCCATTTATTGTATTTGATCAGGTGGGGGAAAATAATACCATACTGCTCTAATAATTATCCTCTCTTAAATAATTACCCCCTCTCTATTTATTGCCACTTCAAGCAAGAGACTGAAAAAAATTGTCCTCTTTTGATGGAGAGACTTATAACAATTACATCTCTCAACTAGTTAGACCCCTCAGCTAGAGGTTGAAACAATAATTACCTATGGTAATTATAAAAGCATATATGGTAGATCGAAAGAAATATAAAGGTTTCTAAAACACATCGATCTGGCCCATGGTCAAGACTTCGATTTTTCAAAGTTCAATTTATAACCATTTTGAACCAATATTTTGTATACGAGCCAAGAATGATTAAAGAGAAATTAAAGAAAATTACCTCTCTATTAAACCACTTTCCATTAATTAAATATTTAAAATTCAAAATATATTCTTCTCCATTACAAACATTATTTTCTATATACAAATTTTCTCCGTTTTTAACTGGCGTGTACCATCCTGGTTGTTCATTACAATTTAATATTGTTGGCATTATAGTCTCCGTTTTTTCAAAATTAAAGAAAACAGGGCGTGGAGAATAGTCAAATTCTGATGGATTTAAAGGGATGACTTTTAACTTTTGTTCTTTCAAATTTATTTTTACAATGTTAAAAACAAGATCCATGTCAAAATAAGTTTTAAACTAAAAAATAAAAAGAGTGAGAGAAAGAAAAGTAGCGGTGAACTAGTCATGCCTTCGCTCAAAATTATCCAGTCCGGGAAGCCCTGGAATCCAGGAAGCACTGCGGACATACCACACATCGGGATATTTCAATATACGAACAGTTACCCCACTAATTTTGGGATCTAATGCAGCTAGATCTTGGATAGTACATTGACTTGTTTTAAGATTTGTTCTAGAACCTTATACACGCAACAAGTTATTTTCTCTCCCAGCAATCAAGATATATCCGCACACCGGTGGTCTATCTGTCCACAAAGGTCTATAGTTGACAAAGTGTATCGAACCATATCAGGGCATCCCCGATTTAATAAATTTGAACGAAGTTGACTTGGCCTTAGATGCTTTACAGATATATGTGTGCAAAATCTTGTACGCGCGTTGAAGCTCTGCTTTAAATTCTTAAATAAATTCTTAACTATTTTTTACCTCTATATAGTTTGTATAACTATTATTTCCAAAAACATAAATGCAAAATTTATTATTTTTCCTATACTTAAATTGTTTTGCGTTTGCATCAAGATAAACTTCCATAGATTCAACCAATTCCTGCTTTAGTTTAAACGTTATAGTATCGTATTTTTGTGTGAAATCTGTTCCAATTTCTTGCCCTCCTAGTTGTGGCTCATTTTTTTCGTTCAATTTTACATTAAAAAGCATTATTTTATATCGTTGATCGCCTATGTTTGGATAGAGAAATTTCTCATGATTAACCCCAGACTCGATTTTTATGTTTATATGTAAATTAGACGTGTCTAAAGCTTCTAAAAATTAAAAATTTTAAGTAAATAATTCACCTTTTTTGTTTATGCAGCCAGAACTTGAGCTTAGATGCTCGTCTGGAAACCTCGTATCTTATAATGAGAGTTTCTTAAATAGAGTGTATCTTATATAGAGGGTATCACTGAAATAACTCGCTCACCCTTATATTGAGTTGTATCTTAAAATGGGGGTATCTTATAATGAGGTGTCTCTAATTTTAATGAGGTGTCTCTAAGTAACTTAACTGTTATAAAGAGGTCTCTAATAATGTTTCTTATAAACTGAACAGCTCTCACGTCCCACCAACTTAGTATTTTGTGTATCTTATAAAGAGCGTTACTTATAAAGAGGGTTACCAATAAAGCTCTCTTAGTTGGATGTATCTTGAATGTGAGTATCTTATACTGAAAGTCTCTAAAATCGAGGTCTGACTGATTTACTCATCTTACCATAAAAGGATAATTTATTTATTTCTTCATTTACTTCCCGTTCATCTGCCATCATTATACCTTTTCCTTTATCTTCTACATGTTTCTGTTTACTAGATTCCCCTGTAGCTTTAACAAAGGACGAGAATTTCAAAATAATAATTAAAATAATTTTCCACATAATAATAAATTTAAAAAATTTTATTTAATGCTAAGAGCGGCAACAAAAAATAAATTTTATAAGTGCAAGTCTATAAAAAATTTTGTATAAAGAAAAAATTAAGGTGGATAAAGGGGATGGCGGTGAGTGAGGAGAAATGAAGGGAGTGAAGAGGAAAGGGGGAAGTCGGAAAATTATGAAAGAGATGTCAAGCAAACTTATGACTGACACGTGAATTTTAGGTGAAGGAAAACTCGGTCTTCCCTAAACTCCGTCTAGACAAAATTCCGAACGACAAAACCTAGTCCAGATGCTTCAGTTTAGTCATAATATCACAAAATCCTCAAATATTTTCCTTAATCCGAACAAGGAGGAGGAGGAACAGTCAATCCAAAATCCTCATCAATTTCGGTAATTAAAATTTTTTTTCCTTTTTTATTTTCCTAATTAACCCTCGAAGAAATCATCAGCAAGAAACTTATTTAGATTCGCTTGCTAATCTTGTGATTTAAATAAATTGAAAAAATAAAATTCAATTCCCAAAAAATTTTTTTTAAATAAATTTAAATAAAAATAAAATAAATAAAATGTTTAGTGATCTTAATCATGGAGCATTTACAGTGCCAACCAATGCTGGGTATTGGGCATTTTGTGGTTCTGGCTCCGAGAAATTCAAATTCTAGGTAGAGCCTAGGTAGAGCCTAGGTAGCTTTCTCTAGGAGCCATACCCAGCATTGAAGTCACCCCCGAATATCTAAAATAAAAAAAAAATAGAGACCGGACCGGAAGGTCATAAACAAAAGCACTCGTCTCATATTGAGAAATAGAGAGAAACCCATCAAAAAAGGAACAATATCCAAGAATTTTAGTTCGAGAGTTCGACTGGTCCGGCCGCTAACCAAAGCCCTTATACAGTCTAACCTCACTTGTATGTCACCTTACAGTCCTAAAATAACTGCCATTCAAGTGAGGTCTAACTGTATATCGCTTTTATACCGTATTTACTTAACTAATTACACCCTCTCAGATACCCCTCCTTATTAAGTACCCACTTCAGCGAGATATTAAAACAATAATTCTTGGGGAGAGACACCCCATAGAGACACCCTCTTGGGGAGAAACACCAGAGAGACCTACTCTTGGGGAGAGACACCCCAGAGAGATACCCTCTTGGGGAGAGACACCAGAGAGACCTACTCTTGGGGAGAGACACCCCAGAGAGACACCCTCTTGGGGAGAGACACCCCAGAGAGACACCCTCTTGGGGAGAGACACCCCAGAGAGACACCCACGAATTATTTGAGCAAATACGGTATGTACGGTAATTCTTTTGAGAAAATAAATATAATAAAACTTGCGGACTTTGGGGAAATATAAACATAAAAAACTAAGAGAGACACCCCCTAATATGAACCCCTATAAAAAGTCGGTACAAAAAATCGTTTTTTCGGTGATCGGACCCTTTCTTGTATACTCTCAATACTTTCAGTTCCCTCAGTTCCCCTTCGGTTTTCGTGGTTTTCGTTCTTTTTTCACTCTTTTAGCATCAGGAATATCCAAATCAGGAGATTTTGAAGCCGAGCCACTTTCAAGTTGTTTTGTAGTTGATTTTGGTTTTGTTATCATCTAAAGGCTTATATTTAAAAAAATTTTCCTCAGACTTTATACCTTTAATAAATTTACAAATGCAGCATTGAATGGCCCTTTAGAATTAAATCCAACTAAGCTACAAAATGCTCTAATATTTCCATTTTCATCAATTTCGAAATTAATATAATACAAATTAATT